GGCAATATTGGTATTGACAAAGCTGCGGTGATAATGAGGACGATCAATTCTTCCTCCTCCATTATGGGGTATTGAGCAGATTTTGGAGTAAACTTGAACCATCATTAGACAAGATCAGCATTTCTCCCATTTGAAAACTTTTTCTCTTTTTAATTTATATTTTTAGTATTCCCACTTTAGTGAAAACAAAACCAAAAGTACCAAAAAACGATAAGTGAAGTGCTGGTAATAAAAACCAGAGATTGTAGAGATTTCTACTTAATTCTTATAAATAAGACTTTGTGATATTATTTTCACATCTAGCTTCATGCACAATGTCTCTCCAACTTTCATCCCAAATTACAAGTATGCAGTTATCAAATAAAATAATTGAAATTCTGAGAGAAGGACATTTCAAGGTGAACATTCCTTTTGCTGGTTTTGAGCAGAATGGTCGGGGGTGGGAGAGGCAGATACAGGCTGTGGTGCAATGCAGGGAAAGACACTGAAAGTTTCATAAGGAAGCTCTGGAGAGAGGAAGTCAAGGAATTTGAATAGACACATGGAAGAGCTTCTGAAAGTAAAATATAACTAGTGCAAATTAATTTAGGCCTTTCTACCTGTGGTTTTTGACCCTGTTGAAGTACACAGGCCCACAATGTCTATACAAACACTCCTACAACACTTACCAGAGTGGTAGTCCTTTTCTTCTAAGGTATGAGAGAGACAGCTCCGTATGTGTTAGTTTGGGTTCTTTAAATACGCAAAACCAGTGGTACACATGTATGTGTGTAAAACAACAAAAACAACAAACTCTTGCCGTTGAGTCTATGCCAACTCATAGTGACCCTATAGGACAGGGCAGAACTACCCCTGTGAGTTTCTGAGACTCTAACTCTTTATAGACGTAGAAAGCCAGTCTTCCTCCCATGGAGTAGCTGCTACTTTTGAACTGGTGACCTTGCAGCCCAACATGTAGTCTTTACCACCAGGGTTCCCATATGTATATAGAGGAGGTTATATTTAAAAAGGGAGCTCACACAGTTTTAGAAGCATCTAAGTCCAGTTTGGTGGTCAAATATTGTGCATGAGGCTTTTCCTGACTTACGTGGCTGCCTGAGTATGGGAAGCCAAATGATCAGAGGCCAGTGAAGTCAGAATAAATCAGCAGATTGGATGTTGTTGCAGACTTCGAATAGCTCCCGGGATCAGCAGGCTGCCAGCACACATTCCAAGGACCCAGACACAGGCTCAGGGCCATCAGGAAGGAAAGAGAGAGAGTGCCATGATCTATTTACAGATGTGAGATAGGCCATAGCCCCAAGGAGGTGTCCTCACACTGTGACCTGAACACTGAACCATATGGTAGAGGCCTCACTGCCAAACAACTGAGATATTCTGGTCCAGCCAAATTGACACAAAACTGAACAATTACATTCCTAATTTCTGAAACTGATAATGTGGCTGTAGCTGGTATTTAAAAATGACCTTTTTCTAGTACCTATTCTGCACTTTCCTTGCCCTCAGCAAGCACTTTAACTGGCGGTGGTTCTGAACCTGGTGCGGTGAGCCACACTTCCATTCCTACAGGGTCTGGCCATTAGTAGCCATGCTAGAATTGGGTAGCCATAGTTACCATACTTCAATCACAGGACGTAGTAGTACCAAAAGATGAACTAAGAAATTCCATATGGATTCTTTACTTCCATTATGTAATACAGATTTAATTTTCCCTTGTTAACCAGGATCAATCAAACCACTCAATTCAGAAACCCCCTTCTTCATCTGTTGAATCAGAAGCACAAGGAATCCAAAAATAGGGAGGAAGAAATCTCAATGGACTCAGTGCTGTGTTTCTAGGTGGAGGTTTTCCCTTTTGGAACTAGGACTTCCAGACATGAAAAACATAGGTAGGGCAAGAGGGTACAGGAAGCAAAAAATACTGCAAGCGGGTCACTCATCTCTGTTCCTTTATCAGTGGATCCTAACTGCTGAAAAACATCACCATATACTGGACACTAATTTAGAACACTTACAGATACCTAAAAACATTGCCCAAACCCTGCGAAGTATGGCTTTCTACCTGGTGCTGTAATTATATCTTCAGAAGACCTTTCCTTTGTCCTGTCAAGCCAGCTACTTCAGGATGATGGGGGACATGGTCAAATGAGAGGATTCCATGAACATGGACCTATTGCTTTCCCTGTCTTCTCTATTCTACCTGAGAGATTTATCGTGACCACTGCTTCTCTCCTGCTTCCTCAGAATTGGCCTTGCTCATCTGAACAGCTCCAAAGTCGGAATGGTATATGTAGAGTATCCATAATGGTGTTTGAACTATTTTCAGGGTTTAGGATGGAGTTAGAACTCTGTCTTTTGAAGACCAAATACCTTTTGGTTTCAGGTGCTAACACAATATCTTGTTTCTGACAAATAAGTGACACAAACCTACTGTTGCCAATCTCTAGACAAGGTTTCTCCTCAACTGACTGCACCTATAGAGACCATGGGGTCTGTGAAATATGGGAGGGGATTTGGGAAACCCTTTTCAGTGCTCTGCTCTGAATACAGCGATTCATCTGTTACAGCATGCCCCAGACTATGTAGAGTGTCTAGTTACCTGTCTCATCTTTACTCTGATTTTCTTGAGATCAGGAATAGTGTTTTATTTATCTTGGAACTTCTATAACTATACTCAGAACCTGACATTGTAGAGGAATTTATTGTATGATTGAAAAATAGAGGAAGACCGAGAAACAGACGAGGACTCCAAGAAAGATTTTATAGACGATACCAGTAGCAAATGGCTACTGGGCTGTTCTAGAAGAAGAGAGATGAGACTTAAGCCTATTCCTCATTGCTACTGTTGGCTGCTGTCTAGTTGGCAACCAACTCACGGTGAATCGATGCTTAATAGAGCAAAATGCTGCCTGCCCTTGCACTGTTTCCATAAAAGCTTGCAGACGGGGCCATTTTGAGTCATAGGGTTTTCTTTGCCTTGTTTTCAGGAGTAGACCACCAAGCCTTTCTGCCTTGGCTGTCTATGGGTTAAAGCACCATGGACACAGCTTCAGCTTCATGGTAACAAATCAGCTTCTACTGACAAGTGGTGGCTGCACATAAGTTGCATTGACCAGGAACTAAACCTGGTCTCTTGCATAGAATGCGAAAATTCTGTTGCTGAAACTACTGATCTCTGGTCCTCTTCATTGTTGTTAGGTGCCATCAAGTCAGTTCTGACCCATCTCAACTCTATACACAACAGGATGAAACACTGCCCAGTCTGGTGCCAGCCTCACAATTGTTGCTATGCTTGAACCCATTGTTATAGCCACTGTGCCAGTCCATCTCATCGAGAACCTTCCTTTTTAGATTATTCAAATATATACTTTTATGGCTATTCTTGATTTTACTTTGATGGACTAACCAATAAGCTACTTTGTTGTAGATTTCCACCCCCTTAACTATTGTCTCAGTTTGGAAGTGGTGCTGAGGTAGGGACATGGACGCATGCAATTGGTCAAAAGAACAGTGAAGGAAGAATGGTGCGCATCAGAATCTAAAAGAAGCTGTTGTCTAGCATCATTCTGATCCCATAGGTAGCTCTGGGGAGCCAACTTTATTGCCCAAAGTGTGTTGTCCATCTCTGTGCTCCCATTTAGCTTGAGACCAATTTTATAGAGAAAGAACAACAATGAGGGATGCACCCTTCTTGAGCAGGAGGCACCAGCAATCTCAGGCATAGCAAAAAAAAATTCCATGAACTACTGATATCACTCTCACTGAGACAGCATCTTACAGAGCAATAAAGGAGAACATGGGCAATCACTTAGACTTTTTGTACAGGAAACACTCTATCCAAACTGTTTCTAGATCCATGGAGTACTGGCGATTCTAAGGTTTTCTCTATCAAAAACCAAATCAAATCCATTATCGTTGAGTCAATTCTAATTCATGATGACCCCATGTGTTACAGAATAGGACCGCTCCATAAGGTTTTCTTAACTTTAATCTTTACAAAAGCAGATTACCAGGCTTTTCTTCCATGGAGTCCCTGTATGAGTTCAAACCATCAACCTTAAAATTAGTAGTTGGGCAAAAACCGTTTGCATCACCCAAGAAAGGGAGATTATGAAAACAATATCCTGTATTTGGCTTAAATAGTTACTTAGTCAACTTCGTATACTCTGCTCTGTGTGCTTCAAGGAACATAAAGGACATGAAATAGGCTGAGGTCTTAACCTCTCCAGTAGGAGGGGCAGGAGGAAGCCCACTGCCTCTGTGGCAGACTGTGCTCTACGCATTGGAGGATGCTGAGAGAGTGGATGAGAGGGAAAGGAATTCTGGTGGGATAAGTGGAGGCGTGCACAAAGCTTTTTACAGGAGCTTATCTTTAGCTGGCCTTTAAACTTTGAACTGAGCCTGCTATGTAATGATGGTGAGGAGTCCATCTGTTAGTGAGGTGTACTTTATACTTTCATATGCCTTCAACCCTTTATGACAAGGGTTGCAGACTCAGATGTCTATGGGGGAAATTTAGGAGCTGCTGATGAGTGGCATCAGTGGACAATATACAGGGACTCAGCTGCAGGGTCCAGCCAATGCTCAATGCCAACTGTTTCCAACCCAGACACCAGACTTTTCCATGTTTTCAGATAAGCCATAAATCTGGATTTTTATGTGATTTTCAGATTTTTTAATCTGAATTTTAAAATTTAAGCACAAATTTAAACATTGTGGGTTAAGGAATCACACAATCAAGGAATCAGCCCCTAGTGGCCCCTATGTTTTAAGCTGTCTGCCTCTGAAAGCTGACCTGAGCCTAGGGCTCGCATCTTTTAGTTGCTGGCCCCGTAGGCCTTCATTCTAGGTGAGGAAGGCATACAGAGTGCCCTACTACAATGAACTATTGGTGTCACTTCATTGCACGATGGTACATCAGTCTATCCTTGGAAGCCCGACAGCTTGCTCAAACACATTCCGATAGGCAGGGTCCTCACTTGCTTTCTGGTACCTTTCAGCTTTCCATGGAGATCCAGTATTCCTTGGCTGTCCATCTGCAGTCCCTAGTGAAGTCAGAGAAGAACCGTCAGATCATGTGTGAGGCAGGCATGCTCAGCACCCTGATGGCCACGTGCCACAGAGCCCTGGTCACTAGCAGCCACCCTCTGCACCTGTGTCTCATCAGGATTTTTGAGAAGCTTGCCTCCCAGTCCATCACACCTGATGTGCTAAGGTAATACGAGCTGTTCCCTAAATGCAACTACTGAACCACAAGCAACTGTGTTTATTGCCGTAATTACAAACAGGGCAATGAAAAGTAAATGGAAGAGTCGTATCGGCCTCAGCATGCATCGAGAGAAACCAATAAGTGTGGGCTGTCTGTGCCCTGGTAGTATACATAGCTGGAACAACACTGCCTGCCAAGTAGATAGAACCTTTCTTTGACTGTATCCAAGGAGAGTTGGATATTATTCAAGGAGTCAGACAGAAAACTGGGGAAGAGTGCTAGGAGAGCATATTAGACCGGGTTCTCTAGAGAAACAAAACCAGAATGCTAATAATTTTATGTATATTTATACAGATAGCTAGATATATAACATAAGAAATAAACAGTTAAATTATAAAGGAGTAAAAATGGCTCAGTGCAACTCACTCCCATAAGACAGTTGTGAGACATTGGCAGTCTTTTAAGTCTTGAGGGCTTCCAGGTAGTCCTCTGTAGAGCAATTCAGTCTATCTGGGCACAGGCAGCAAACAGCAAGGCAGGTCACCAATAGTCAGCCAGATAACAGGGTCTGACAGTCCCCACCTCAAGAGATGTAAATTCCAATGGTGTGGCGAAGCAGGTCTTGAAGGAATCTCAAATTACAGCGACACAGTCCACAGGTTAGGTGTCCCACAGGTAGTGTAGCTTGCAAATTGAGGCGCAGAACAAGCAAGGCAGCCGCACACTGGTCCAATGATCAAAGAGCAAGAAACAAAGGTGAGGCTTGCCATGCCATTTATCTCTCTGCCCTTCAATTAATCCCACATGTGTTTATCAGCCAGGTTGGCACAAAAAAACTACCTAAGGGAGATACTCAGATCTGCAGTCAGAAGATTGAGGGGGCTTTAAGAGACAGAAACTTAGCTAAGTTCTAAGGCTAGTGCAAAAGGGGTGGGAATTGGGCTTTGAGTGATTGACCTTATTTAAGGTCATGAGCGGCATTGGGTAGACAGACTGAAGGCCCTGCAGATACAGTGGTAAGGGAACCTAGACTAGAAGAAAGGGCAAAGACAGTGCTTGACTACCTACTGGTGAAAACCTTCTCATGTAAAACCCCTCCATGAAGTCATGTTTCTGGGAGGAGGGAACAAACAAGACAAAAGGAAAGGCTGAAGAAGAAAAGAAATGGAATTTACTAAGTACCTGTGGCCTGGTCACCCTTCCTGGGTTCTGTAACATGTGCTGGGTCGTGCTTACATACAAGAGCAGTGGTAATGCTCTGCCACAGATTCCCCCAGCCAGCAGACATGAGACATAGGGATGAGTCAATGTGGGGACCCAGGGATGGGCCAGTTTTCCCTAGTCATGAGAAGCGAGACCTGCCAAATAAAGCCCCCTTGCCTAATTGAACAACTGTGTATCCAACTTCTTTAGAAACTTACAATGTGTGATAAGATTATTTTCCAGCATATTACTTTTCCTCCTCAGGCCCAATGCGAGACTCTTGGCTTGTCCTTGGTTAGTGTAAAGCTCATAAACTCCAGAGTTCTCTGATCTTTGTGCCAGAACAGGGTTGCCTCCTTGGATAGCTTACTGAAAAGGCTTTCCAAACAAAGGGAAAAAACATGGAGGGCCAGGGTGCTATGCATCTATCTCTGGTAGTTATATAATATATATAGGTGTGGTAGTTATATAATCATTTTGTCAATTTGAGAGGATTAAGAGTGAAGGGGTGGAGTCTAACCTGTCAATCAGGTCATAGCCAATGAGACCTCTGTGTGGACATGGCCTTTTCCTGAGGATTCTGGGGACTCCTGTATTGTTCCTTGGAGGCAGGAGACACTCTCTCGGCTCACTCCCTGAGAGACTCTCTACTGACAAGACACAGGGGCTATGCTGATGGCAGCAAAAGCCCTCGTGGAGAAGCCATGAGGCAATCCCTGCCAGTGCTGAGAAGCGTACACTGCTGGATCCACAACATTTCCCACCCACTGGCCTGTGATCTTCCAGCATTCAGTGTCATTGCTTGTGTTTCCCGAGTTTGAAGAGGACGTTACAGATTGGTATCAGACATATGGGCTTAATCTGGACTGGGTTGGGATGCTTTCTTAATGTACAATTACTCTTTATATAAGCTCGTTCTTACACACATATGAGTCTCCCTAGATTCGTTTCTCTAGTCTACTAGGACTAACACATTAGGTAAATGGTGAGAAGGCAGTTGGAGAGAAATTTTACCTGTTAAACATCTTCATTTTCTTCTATTTTGTTTTGATATCAGACAGTTTCTAGGCCTTGTAATCCCGTCATCTGCATCAGCTGCCATGAACATTCTGAATTCATCGGGAGAGAATGAAGGCAACTCTGGTTGTGCAGGTGAGGAGACAGGGAAGAGCAGATGCTTATTACTCGCTCATGCCGTCGTCAGTTCTGAATCATAGTGACCCTATAGAATGAGTAGAATTGCCCCTGTGGATTTCTTAGACTAATTCTTTATGGGAGTAGAATGCCTCACTTTTCTCCCACAGAGTGCCTAGTAGTTTTGAACTACTGACCTTTCAGTTAGCTCTCCAATGCATAACCCACGACTGTATCAGAAGTCCTTAATGATATTTAAAAGGCACATCTGTTTCTCGGTAGGTGGGAAAAGAGTTTTACACAACATTCAATAGAGCAAATGAGGAAAGTAGGGGGAAGGGAAAGCTGAGTGTGGTCTCCTCCTTTATAAGGCAGGTGATGAGTGCATACCTTTGTGGCTTCTGGGACCCCAATTATGGAAATGGACTAATACTAGTGCCGTGGGAGCAGCCAGCGGTGTGACCACACAACGAGCACGGTGCAGGCTTCCCGAGAGTCACAGCTCGGGCAGGAGAGCCTCCTGAACTGCTTCTGGGTGGGTGATGGTGTAGGAAACGAACCTAAAGAAAAAGTAGTAGATGCCTTGACTGTAAGGCTATTTAGGAAGGTAAAGTAAAGAGGCCCAATGGAAAGCAAGGTGGAGACTTGTACTTGGAGAGGCAGCCCCGAGGTGAGTGGGAGAGCTTTTGAGTTGACAAGCTGCTGTGAAGTTGAACGCTCTAGGGGTGACTGTGTGATGTGTTGGCCTGCAGACCTTGTATTCTGGAATTAAAAGGAGAAGCCGATTGCCACGGTGACTCATGATTATCACACTCAGTGCAGGGACAGATGGGAAGGCTAGGGAGCATTGAAAATGGTTAGGAAGGCCTCATGGCTTTGCACGACCCTCTTCAGGACTGTGTCAGCAATGCAGGGTCATGGGTGGTACGAACTGTTGGCCACCAACTATTAAATGTTGGGGCTTCACACCCAGTAGCAGCACAGAGAGAATGTTTTGGTGGTCTGCTTCTCTAAAAAATATATAGCCAAGAAAACCTTATGGACTAGTTTTATTCTGTAACACATGGAGTCACCGTTAGTCAGACTCAACTTGACAGCAATGGGTTCAGAATTGTTTATCAGAAAGGGCGTGCAAGTACAATTGCAGAAACACATGTCTTCACTTGTTTGCTGCCTTAGGGTCCAAGGTAGCAGCCCTGAATGCTGTGGAGGGTCCCCTGGATGCTGGCCCTGGCATTTCCCAGGAACTCAAGCCTGTGGGAGTGTCTCCCAGTTCAACAGCAGCCCTCCAGACAATGCTGAGTCTCATCTCTATGACTTCCCCTCGGAACCTGCAACCTGAGAGGGCAGCCCTGACACCATCATTTGTGGAATTCGACATGTCCACAGAAGGTTATGGGTACAGGAGTCTTTGCATCTTTACAGTATACTCTTTATTTATTTTTAATCATTTTATTAGGGGCTCCTACAACTCTTACCACAATCCATACACACATCA